TTTATTATCAATAGTAGTAATAGAAAGATTAGTAACAATGATAGGCTCTCTCTTTGTGTTAGGTGGAATTTTTCTTGTATTTAAATCATCTTCCGTACTATCAAAAATATCATCAACATTCATGAGAATCATGACTAAAATATTCAATATTAAACAAGTTTACTCATTCAATTCACTACAAGAAAATTTAAAATTACAGACGACCAAAATTCGTGGGTAATTCAAAAAATCTGTGGGTAACACTTCATTTCCGATAGATTACAGACGGAAAATAATCCGTTGGTAAATTGCTCGTTTGAAATATTTACCGATGGATTATAATCCGTGGGTAACTTTCTGACGAAATTACCTACGGATAAAATTCGTGAGTATTGTTGATAATATTTTTAAAAAATCATTTCAAAATTATATTAAATAACATCCTTATTTAGTGCAACATCCCTCATGTTTGACCTTTCAGCAGTTCCACTCCACAACACTTCACACAACTCCTCGTTGGTCAGAATCCTTCACCAATCAAAACCCTCTATGGGTAACCCTTTTTGAGATATTCATCAGAACCCTTTAGTGTGCCTTGTCGTCACTTGCGCATTTTTCTAGAAAACTTCCCAGAAGGTCACCCATCCCTAAATTACTCCATGTCAAGCACGCTTAATTGTGAAGTTCTTAAGGAATAAGCTACCAAAGAGTAGATGCATTTTATTGGTATAAATAGTACAAATTAATTATTTTAAGTCACCTTTAACTATACAATCTCATACTTGTACAATCTTTGAATCCTCTCATTCCAGTATATTTCAAGAATTACAATATAATATAATACTATAATTTTTATCTAAATTAAGAAATATTAATATTTTAGTCTATGTATTTCACAAGTTACATTTTTATTATATATAATTAAAATTTATAATAAATTATATATAAAAATAAATATTATAGTTAAATCAATAAATCATATATAAAATTTTTATAAACATATATTAAATGAAAATTATTAACTAATCAAAGAATAATTAACTTCTATATAAAAAGTACAAATGTCTTTCTTGTGTCATAGCATTTTTAGAGACTTTTCTTTAACTAGAAGAATTTTATATACTTTTAATTTTTTTATATCTAATTTAGTTTTTATTTATCATTATTACTTACAAATTAATTTTATTATTTTTAAAAAATTATTAATAAAAAATAATTACACATGAATTTGTCCGTGGGTAATTACCCATGGATTTATCCAATTACCCACGAATTTATCCGTCGGTAATTACCCATGAATAATTTTATGGGTAATTAACCACGGATACATCCATGGATAATTTCGTAAGTAATTATCTAATTTAATTTTTATTTATCATAATTACTTATAAATTAATTTTACTATTTTAACATAAATTATTAATAAAAAATAATTACTCACGGATAATTACCCACGGATTTATCTGTCAGTAATTACCCACGGATTTATCCGTCGGTAATTACCCACGGGAGTATCCGTGAGTAATTCCGTGGGTAATTATTTAATTTAATTTTTATTTATCATAATTACTTATAAATTAATTTTATTATTTTTAACATAAATTATTAATAAAAAAAAATTATCCACGGATTTATCCATCGATAATTACCCATGGATACATCCATGGGTAATTCCGTGAGTAATTATCTAATTTAATTTTTTTATTATAATTACTTAAGAATTACTTTTATTATTTTAAAATAAATTAGTAATAAAAAATAGTTACTCACGGATATATCTATCGATAATAACGTCAGTAATTTCATGAGTATTGTTGATAATATTTTTAAAAAATCATTTTAAAATTGTATTAAATAATAATCTTATTTTATTAAAAATAATATAGTTCAAAATTGGTAAAATTATTATAAATGTTAAGAAATTATCTTTTAGTTTTAGACTATCATGCATCAATATCATTTCACTAATTATAAATTACTCAATTAAAATATATTGATAGTAAATTATTATTTTATACTATCATTTAATTATAAATTTTATGTATATAATAGTTGGTATGGTAAATTAATTAGCATGAGAAAATTAGTTAAGTATTTAAGAATTTAATTTGTTAATGTTTTATCATTAAATTTTTTAAAGTTACCGACGATTTTTTTTCATTTTCTACGAACAATGATTTAGATAGATAATTCGTGGGAAATATCTGTCTGAAACATCATAATTTTTCCACGGAAAAAATTCGTTGGTAACATCCATATGAAATTTCAGATGGAAAAAATTTGTGGGTAATATCCGTCGGAATCATTTATGTTTTAGACGGATACATATTCGTCAAAAAAATCCGTTGGTAATGTCATTTTTTAGATATATATATATCCGTAGGAAAAAGTCCGTCGATAATAAGTGTTTTTTTTTGTAGTGATTTATGGTTCTCACAATGGATTATAAATCAACAACAACCTAACATAATTCTTAGTTCAATTCACAAGCAACAACAACCCAAAATTTAGTTCACAATTCTCGGTCTACACAACACAAGCCTTAAAATAATAAAATAACATACTTGGTATTTTGGTAAATGTTAGGACCAGGAGAAACACTAACAACAGGCAATAAAGAAATATATAATACTTATCATAAAGAGAGAGAATGATGATGAGCCATGAGGTCAAGCCATCAAGGGAACAATGAGATTATAGGAGTGACAAAACTCTCACAATGACTAATCCTAACCCTAACATTATAACTTTATAATAATAACTTTACAAGAAAACATAAAAATAAAAAAAGAAAAAGAAAAGTGAAAGACTATTATTGTTGTAGTGTTATTATATTTTATTCTATTATTTTATAACACGTTACAAATTAATGTTAATTTAGATTATTTCAATTATTATTTTAACGGGTCGATTCAACTTGAGCCCATTTGGCCTATAAATCTTTCTCTTTAAATTGATGTTAATTTAGATTATTTCAATTATTATTTTAACGGGTAAATTCGACTTGAGCCCATTTGGCCGTCGGGCTTAATTGGACAGGCTGAAATGACGTAATTCTATTAAGGTCATCCTTTTTAAGATCTAACTTGACCTTATTTCTCGATTTGTTGAACCCAAATTGACAAATTTACTAAAAAGATATATTAAAAAAAGATACTTGGGTCCTTGAAGCTTGGAGAAGCTTTGTACAAAGAATACTTAAGTTGTACTTAGTTGAGTCAGGAGTGACTTGTGAAAAAATACTTGTTAATAAGAACACCTGTTTTAGTAGAATTTAATTAGTTGATCAAGAGTTGAATGTAATCTTAGCAATGGAATGAACTGGCATAAAAATAACTATGTAGATCTTTCTCTCTTTAAATTGTTGTTAATTTAGGTTATTTCAATTATTATTTTAACAAGTCAGTTCGACCTGAGTCCATTTGGCTTGTCAAGCTTAACAGGTCAGGCCAAAATGACCTGATTCTATTTAGATAATCTTTTTTAAGATATAACTTGACTTTATTTATGGACTGGTTGGACCCAAAATGCTTGGGTCTTTGAAGCTTGGAGAAGCTTTGTGCAAAAGAATATTTTAGTTGTGCTTAGTTGAGTCAAGGGTGACTTATGAAAAAATATTTGTTAGTAAGCTAACTTATGTCAGTAGAACTTGATCAATTGATCAAGAGCTAAATGTAATCTTAGTAATGGAAACAAACCAATATAATAAAAAAAACTATAGATCTTTCTCTCTTTAAATTTATGTTAATTTAGATTATTTCAATTATTATTTTAATGGGTCAGTTCAACTTCAGTTCATTTGATTTGTCAAGCTTAACAGTGCATGCCAAAATGACATGATTCTAGACCATCATTTTTAAGACCCAGCTTAACCTTATTTTTAGACTAGTTGGACCCAAATTGATAGCTCTACTAAAGAGACTTTGTATTAAAAAAAAAATACTTGAGTCTTTGAAGCTTGAAGAAATTTTGTGCAAAAGAATACTTGTAGTTTAGTCAAAAGTGACTTGTTAAATAATATTTGTTGGTAAGAAAGCCTATTTTAATAGAACTTGCTCAGTTCATTAAGAGTTGAGTGTAAGCTTAGTGGTGGAAACGAACCGATAAAAAATAACTATGCAGATCTTCCTCTCTTTGATTTATCTACATTTTAGCATTTGTTTAATATGTACTGTCTTCGTTTGTTCATATATTGAAATTTGTGAAAAAGAAATTTTTTTTAAAACTAATCACCTTTTTTCTAGTATATATACATATATAAGATAATATAAATTATTTATTATAAATATAATATATAATTTATATGCTTAAAATTATGTATTTATTACAAATTTTAATTATAATATAACTTATATAATTAAAAGTATTATTTATTATCAATTATGATTTTGTATAAAAATGATTTATTGTGTACATTGTACTAACCAAAATGCTAATTTCTCTTGATCTAAAAAGCTTTTAAAAAAATTGTTCATTTTAAGTCATTGTTTCTTTTCTTTTATTACTTTTTACTATACTTTCTTCTTTTTAAAATACTGCATCATCTAAACAAAATATTAGTATTTCTAAAATTATTTATTTTTCATGTCACATCAAATCATCATCAAATATTTACATTAGTGTCACTTTTAGTGTTGTGATAATAAGTTATGTCAATATCAACAACACAATTATTACACATATTCCTATACAAGATTCAATTACTTTAAAGTTGATTCTTGCAAATATTAACAAAGATAGAATGTCATATTAAAGTTTGCTAAAGGTTTTATATCATATTAGAGTTAACTAACAACCGGATCAAAATTGTATAATTTTAAAAATCAAAATGATTAATTATTTTTTATGAAAAGTATTTTAAAATTTTCAATTAAAAATTAATCAGCAAAATAAAAAGAATTCATGTATAATAATCCTCTAAATTCTAACAAAATTACTCGAAGAGAAAATAGAAAATACATAACAAAATTGAAGAACCTTCACGATCCGGTCCCTACAAAATCGCGATACTAAATTCGCCTCTCCCAACCCAACGGCTGACCCCTTCCACCGCTTTGGCAATCCCCTGCGTGACGCTTACCGTGTTGCCGCCGACTTCCGAAATCCGATTCATCCACGTGTCAAAATCGAAGAGGTCGGTGCGTTTCGCGGCGTGTCCCCATAAGTGGGACCCACAGGCTGACAACGATCCACGTGGCCGGGACAGTTTCGATCCGATCCGATTCGATCCGTTACAATCGCTTGATGTTGTTTCTTCCGTTTCTTCTCTTCTCACACTGTGAACGACACTAAACCCAATAACGCTTTCATGGTATTCACCTGACTCATCATCACCCTTCTCTCTCTCTTTGGCCACAATTCCACCCTAAAACGACAATGGCGTGGGGCTCCTGCGTTCCACGATGCTAAGCTGTCGTTTGCATTGTGATCCTATAATGGGGACTTGCTCTCATTCTTTGGTTTTGTGATTGGAATCCAAAGAGAGAGAGTGTGTGTTGTTGCGTTCGTTTCATGGCTAAATTGGTGGCCCGAACGGGGCGCCATCAGCAGCGATACGAACATGGTTATCGCCTTATTGCTGGGTTAGTGCTTTGCTTCTTCTTTTCAATGCTTGAGCCAAAAGATGGATATGCATGTTGTTGTAGTTGTTGAATAATTTGGAGGAAAGCCAAGTTTGATGTTATGACCAAATGGGTACTTTTCTTATAATGATAAAAAAAAATTTATTTTTGATAACCTTGGTAAGGAGTTTTTACGGCTTTATCAATGATTAATCTCATTCTAGGAATCTAGTTGGTGACTTTTAGTGGTTTCTTTTATAATAATTACGGTTTTTTCATCCAGAAAATTGGATTTTGCTTATGTTTTTTTCATCCACAAGTCTTAACCAGACCCAGACTTTGCTTAGGAGACCTAGTACAGGACCGATGATTTGTTAGTATATATGTATATACAAAATAATAATTTTATTTATTGATGGATTGATTAGTTGGTGTAAAAAAAAAAAAAAAAAAAAGGATTTTTGGGGCTTTATAGAATAACCATTGTGTTGAACCAAGGTGTTTTAGGGGGAGAGTCTGGTTGTTTCTAGTATTGTTTTTTTGTTGAGCAGTTTTTTGTTTTTTTATTTTTAAATGAACTATCAAAATGGGAGCTTTTCAATTTTCGTGTTAATGGGTAATTGCATGAGGGAACAATTGGGTTAAGTAAATGCTTGGTGAGGGTCTTTGACTGACTTACTACTATGGTTTGGACTTTTTGAGATTTAAGGTCATAAAGAAATGGTGGTGTGTTTTTCACAGCATCTTTTTTAGCATGTTTTACGCTGGCTTCTACAATGCATGAAGAAAGGAATGGGGGAGAGTTGGAAGTATGGAAGATATGGATTACATAATACATATTTCTTGTGCTCTCTCACATGATGTGTGAATGTGACGTAATTTAATTAAACAATGGAGTTTTATGCATCATACATTGGAATCCTGGAATTTACAATGACATGCTGCAACCATCTTCCTCTTGGCATAAGGATTTGATGCCTTGACTTCTTTTTCTAGCCCGTGTTTATTATTTTTCCTCTGCAAGTTGTTTGATCATCTATCAAAATGCTGCAAAAGCACTACAGTGACTTGATTGTCGTTTATAATCTTCTAATGTTTGTCTTATTGATTATTTCTTACACTTCAAATTATTATTCGATCTAACTTGAATGAAGTTAAAAATTTGTAGCCAAAAGTAAAGAAGAATAGGGAGATGTTTAATTGTCCAAATATATTGGCCTTTTAGCTGAAGCAGCTTTTACTATATCAACCAATCCTTTTAGCTAGGAATTACTCGAAGTTTGAAAAGTTGGATTCGTATACTTAAGAGATCTGATCTATAGATGCTAATTGTGCTGCAGGTGTGTTCCATTTAGATATAAAGAAGGTGATGATTGTGAAGACTCTTGTTCTGAGAAGATTGTTGAAGTGCTTATGATTAGTTCAACTAGTGGACCAGGTCTTTTGTTTCCAAAGGTATAATGTTTGAATACAAAATGTACATTGTGTTTGTATTAGTTTATTGAGTTACTACTAGTGCATTGCACTTGCAAGTATGGTTTATATAATGATTCATCGTGAATTTTCTGATGCATTCATTAATTTTGGATGGATCACAATATTAGAAACAGCTATATTACTGAAAAAATTATTATTAAATTCTTATACTTTTGGACCTCTTGTTTTGCATGATTTAGCCCCCCACCCTCAATCTTATCACTGTTAAGAACAGTAAATTCTAATGCCCTATTAAACATCCTGGCACAACTTTACATCAACTTCCTGTTCACATAGTTTATATTGTTGTTACTGTAAAGATTTCACACGTATTGGGATGACGGGTACATTGACTTAGGATTTGGATTTGGATCCTCTCTTTTTCAAAACATAATAGGGTCCTGTTAGAGAAATATAGACAAAATTCATTTTTTCCTAACTAGTAGAACCTATAACCTGTCATACCGGGTCTCCTTCATACAATAAGAATTGTGTTTAGACGTTGTCATTGGTTGTAACTTGTAATTGTTCCTTAATCATAATCGCTTTAGGGAAGAAAGGAAAGAAAGTAACATTTAGCTTACTATTTGACATATTTAATATGTAATACAGACAGTTCTTGTTGTGTGCATGAATTATGTTCACCTTATGAATGTGTGGGAGGCATTCATGATGTAGCTGTCATAGCCAGTTTGCATGTTTTCAAGAAAGCCCCCCCGCTTCAATATCCAGTAATCTGGCCTATCTTTAAGAGAACTTCATTGTGCCTGTAGTTGCACACTTGTATCCATGTCATGGTGTCTTGTACTTTGGACATTAGTGGTGTCTCCATGTCCATTTTGTGTCTGGTCACTCTGGTGTCCTTATGCATGTTTATTCTTCATAGTTGCACACATAAAGACCAACTTTTAGGCACTTGAATAATTCAAGACACTATCGTAATTTGTTGTAACAACATATATTGAACATATGACATATCAATGAGACAAGTTTATTAGATTGCTCAATATGATGTCATAGATATAGATTTTACTGCTTCATAATAAATTGCTTGCAATTTCATAATAGTAAAGATCTGTTTTTCTAAATAAATGTGATTGACATCAGCTGTAAATTATGGCTCCCGAGTTGAGATCTTATTTTCTGATTATTGTGATTTTGCTTTGCTATTCAAGGGAGGATGGGAGAATGATGAAACTGTTGAAGAGGCTGCTGTAAGAGAAGCAATTGAAGAAGCAGGAGTTCAAGGAGACCTAATGGTGAAAATCTTCTCCACATATATGAATTAATTTAATGTTTTATCTTATCTAACATTGTGATTTGTTACCTGTGAATTTCTTGGAAGAGTCTAGGAAGTTTATGTGAACATCAAATCATGTTCTGACATCAGTAGTTACTAGTCGATGATAACAAAAATTTGCACAAAAAAAAAAAATGAACAAAATCAAGACACTAGGGGATTCGAGAGACAGTAATTTAAATATCAAAGTTTCATAACCTGCCAAACTCATCGTAGATTACATCAAAACCATGTAATATGACTGATTTTTGCTCAAACCTGAAAGAGGCTTCTGGGTGTTTTCATGTCACTTTTTTTGTATTAAGAGTTTAATTTATATGTAGTGTTACTTTAAAAGTTTGTATCATGTCAACCCATCAAAAATCATGATAGCAAGATTGTTATTGGAAAAGTCAATAAACTTACCATACACGTGTATATGTGATTCTCCATGTAAAAACTTTACATTGTTAGTGTATGAACTATTTTCTCTTTTGTATTTCCATTTTGATGGATGAATGCAAACTGATGATTGATATTGTGGCTACTTGGTGTCAGGACTTTCTTGGATACTATGAATTTAAGAGCAAGACCCTCCAAGATGAGTTTAGTCCAGAAGGTTTATGTAAAGCAGCAATGTATGCCTTGTTTGTGAAGGAAGAACTTGAGTCATGGCCTGAGCAAAGCACCAGAAATAGGAGTTGGTTGGCTGTATCAGAGGCACTAGGAAGCTGCCGCCATGCATGGATGAGAGAAGCCCTGCAATGCTTCTCTAAATGGCATGAGGAGTGCAAGGGAGGATCTAGACCGAACTGACTACTCATTTGTAGGGGGCAGTGATAAAAAGATTAGTAACATTTATTTTAGTGAAGATATTTCTTATCAGGATTACATAGGGTGTGGTTGATGTCTTTTTGTCATTTAGTTTTCAAAACGTTTTTTCGGATGGATAAAAAATTTGTTTGGTGATGGAATTTTGAGGACAGATTTAAAAAAAATGAAGTGTCTGAAATATAGATATGCTATTATGTTCACAATAAGTCTATGTCAACCCCAGGATTAGTTTCTGGATTTTGGTTAATGATATTCCGGTTTACTTTAAAAAATGTCTATGCCAACCAATCCTTGTGAATCCTCAACCACAATTTATGGCAACGAAGGGACTGTTGCTGCTCTTATATGTCCCTTCAGAAATGAAGAAGACGCGGAGTCCCACACAGAAAAATGAAATATGAGAAGTTGATTCCCCGGTAAAATACACGAGATTTTGTTTTCTTGTTTTTAATTATATACTTTTAAAATTGTTAAATCTGTAAATGAAAACAACTGCAATTAGTGTTTCTTTTTCCCTTTTTTTTTTAAGTAAAAGTGTTTAAGATAGTCTGCAAACATGTCTTTAGAGTAATTCGTAAATCGAATAATAATTGAAACATTTTTACAGTTAATTATTTTATGAGATTTTAGCTGATACAAAATTGTAAAATGTATAAGGTCTTTACGTTGTGCATTTCAATTAAATTCAAATCGAATAACATGCTTGCTCAAGTAGTCAAAATTTTCTTTGTTCGTGACTTTTTATTTGAATCATCTTAATGAGGAATATCTCTCGGTTTATACCGCGCCCTTGGTAATGAGGGGACATCTTGCAATAGGCTAAATGCGTATTCGTTGTTTTCAAGCGGGCATTTATTCTGATATGATTTTCCTTTTTATCTTCCTTAACTTTTGCTTCGTAAAAAAAAAGGGAAGAGTTTTGCCTTTGTTTTTCTTCAATCAAAATTTGTGTTTGCACGAAGATAATTCATCGAAAATGGATAAAGTGTATCGGCTCATATTAAAAAAAACGGATTTTTTTATTTATTCAAATTAAAAAAAAATCAAATTTGTATAAATGAACAGTTAACCAAACCATTTTTTCAAAGCATCAGTTCAGTTTTTCATAGATCGCTTTATAATACGGATCGAATAGGAAATTTTGCAGACCTCTAGTAATATTTGGGTCAGCTTCCAAATGAGCTTAACAAATATAGAGGCAAAAGATGGCAAGTCTCGCCCTAGCTTATTCTCCATAATGCAACTGTTGTCACCAAGCAATGAAATGGAACTGACTACTGAATCACTAATTGAACCGAGATGAAATGCTCACAACCATATCCATGTTTGGCCAAATCAGAAACAGTAGGGTTATATTGCATTGCACAGAGACGCTGTATAAAGGAATCAATTCTATTCAAGAATTATGCAACTGCATAATGGTGAGTCGAAAAAATGCATTAAGTTGGCTGTTGAGTACAATTTGTACAATATGAAATAAACATACATATGATATGATATACAGCTCAAAATCTGGGACTACAAACTTGTGAGTAATGAATAATATAAATGGGCCAACTGCCAATATTTGTTTTAGCTGTCTTTAAATCTCCACACTCTTGTCAGCAAGCCAATTATCCTATCTCCACAGCTTCAATTCTTTCACTCCTCTGTTTATTAGCATCAATACATGTGGCCAAACTGCATTCCAACCTTCAAAAAGGAGTTATGGTTCAGAGCACATCTAACAGCAGAGCTTTCCACTTCTTTGCACAAGCTCAGGCCCAGAAAAACATAGGCTAAAGAGCTGAATGAGAAATTTTAGCTATGATACAACCTTTCATTTTCCTAAAATAGCATATCAGTCCTCATCAAGGGCAAGATCAGCAGGATCTCCTATCCAGAGCCTCCCTTCCCTCCACCGGAATTTTATTCTTAGTTTGCCATTTGCATCTACCCCTACAACCTGTCCCTTGCTGGCATGTGTCTCCATTCCCCATCCCCATCGCGGGTTTGCCAATCCATCTCTGATCCTTACCTTGTCCCCCACTTTAAATGGCCTAACCCGTTCCATTTCCCATGCCTTACAAAGCCATAGCCTCTCCATGAAACAGAACGCCACCCACAGATCCTCGTCTTCCATCCGATGCACTACTCCAAGGCTTGAATGACTCACATCCCCCCAATGGTGGGTTGGGGTTGAAACTGATGCTTTGACCCTTACCCAATCTCCTATACAGAGCTCCTTCTCTTCCACCACTTCCACTTCTGATGGATCCAACATCCACGCTTTCGTTCCTGCTGGAGTGTATATTCGAAGCTTTCCATCAGCATCAATTGCTTGTATAGTCCCAATACTTGCATGGGTATGCCCTGACCATCCAAATCTTGGTTGCCTTACACATTGTTTTACTCTAACCTTCTGTCCAACAAAGAGTTTGTCAAATCTTTCAAGATGAGAACTTGGTCCTTCCCACTTATCTTGCTCCCCACAAAATCCAACGTATATGCTTCTGCCCAATTCATATCCTTCAAGCCCCATTCCTTGAACGACACCAATGCTACCTGGCCCAATTGATTTCCAATTATTTGCATTATCTTTCAATCTCACCCACTCACCCACTTCAAACATTTGTTCAATCTCAAGGTCTGCAGGATCTCCACGCCACAGGTCTGGCAGACCAAAAAATGCAACCCTGACTTCTCCATCAGCATGAATACTGGTTATAACCCCTCGAGATTCAGGCTGAGCTTCTCTCCAACCCCACCTTGGTTCAACCAAACCAGCTCGGAACCTAACATACTGCCCAACTTTATAGCTAGGAACCTTTTCAACATCTGTATAATGAGTGATCCACTTCCCTTTACGAAAACAGCAAGCCAACTCCAAATATCCAGAATCCTGTACACTATGCACAACAGCTAAACTTTCTTTCCCAACATTATTCCAGTCATAGCTTGGTCTGGTTCCCAGGCTTGGTTTTGAGCGTACCCAATCCCCAACTTCAAATCCTGGAAGCCGTTCTGCATCTCCAGGAGAAACTTTCCACAAGTTCTGCCTACCAGTGACCCTCACCTACAAAGAAACCAGCAAAAATCACTTCTTATTTGTAATCTAAGGAAGATATCACTAATAACATTGTCGATAAAATGTTTATTCTAAGTTTATCTAATCCAATAGTTACAGTAGTCAATATCTTAGTCTAATTTTCTCATATGGTTTAGGCAGGGGTTCCAGCAAAGCCAAATATGAGGTGATTTTGTCTGATTGTACACTTGTTATTTGTCAAGCACCATATCACCATTCTGCAGATGCTATAGCCATGATGATGGGCAAATTCTTACACCCAGTCTACCCTGCCTGGGGTATATACTGGGCCAATTAATAATTGCCAACTCATTTTATATTATAATCTTATTGATAATTGTCAACTCATGGCTCAAATTTGAGTTTGGCGTCACTTTATAATTTAAACCAGCCATACCCTGATACAGAAAGAAAACATAGAAATCTCAGGTTACAACTCTGGACCTATACAAAACTTTTTCTGCGAAACTTTAATTTCAGCCATATAAGGCAGCAAATCCCCCCAGATGGAAGGCTATTTCCTAGGCAATATCTGTACAGATTTATAAACTTTACATACCAAACTGAGTCTATCACTACTTAACAATGTTAGAAAAAATTGTATTAGGTGCTGTTTAAAAATAGTTATGGAAGACACTTAAGACATCATAGATAGCTTAAAAGTCATTTAAGGTGTAGAATCATGCACAAAAACTAGAAAAAATAATCTAAGCTTACATTGAGAGCACCATCCATGTCAATTCTCACTATTTTTCCAACAGTGGCTGGCGATTCATTTGACCACCCAAGCCGTGGCTGAGTAACAGATGGCATCACATGAATTTCTTGTCCCACCTCAAATGGAGGAACTTTCTCTACATCAGTGACTGAGCAACGAAAAGGCTTACTTCTGAAGCAAAAAGCTACTCCCATATCACCATCCTCCTCCAAGCTATGAATTACCCCAATACTATTCCTTGTAATATCGTCCCATCCATATTTTGGAGAAGACACTGAAGCTTTCACTCTTACCCAATCTCCAACCTGCTTTGGACAAATCAAGAATTAAATAGTGCAAGCCAGATAATAAGGCATCTGACATTAAATATATAGAAAGAACAAGCTAAAAAGGTAGCTAATGATCAACTTTAACAGAAAGAATTACTACCTTAAAATCTTCCACCTTCTCCATATCCGATGGATCAGCTTGCCATGGTATGGGTCGATTTGGTATATCTATTATTAAGAGACCATCATTCTCAATCTCACTTATTCTTCCAACACTATGATGTGTCTCACCACCCCAAGCATATCTAGGTTCTGCAACAGATCGTTTCACACATACCCGATCACCAATCTGTAAGACAAATTTTGTTAATACAAGTCATGTAATGAAGACAGGAGACAAATAAGCAACACAGAATAAAATTTGCATTTTTCATACCCTAAAAGGAGCAACATGCTCAACCTCCTCTGGTTCACAATGCCATGGATTTGGAAGATAGCTCAGTTCTATTAAGAGACTACTATCTGGTCGAATACAATATACAATGCCAATGCTTCCTGGTGTCACAGACCCTAGTCCATGCTTTGCAGATGTAAGAGTTGGACGAATACGAACCCAATCTCCAACCTTGAATTCCTCAACACGTTCCATCTCTGCAGGATCAGCTTTCCATCCTCTGGATGCTCCAGGAAATCCAACACGGAGGATTCCGTCATCGTCTACACATAATACAGTCCCAATGCTGTCACGACACTGCCCACGCCAACCAAATCTAACATGGACAAACAGTCATCAATATTAAAGAAAATGCAAAATCAACATGGTTTGATAGCATGCCATGCACAAGGTACTAATTAACAGAATTTGATAGTAAAGCATAGGTTGTCTTCTATATCGTCATTCCCTTCTCTTGTATATTTTTTCTTAACAAAAACCTTGTGCAGCAAATATATAAGTAAAATAAATCCATCAAACAGAGAGATTTAAAAAAGTAGCATAATGCTACCAAACTAATTATGCACTCCAGTCCAGTCACAGATGACATCATTCAAGAATCCATTATACACCAAATTGTAATAAGACCTATATGGAAGAAGCATTATAAGTGGGTGATACCACTGAGCCAACAGAGACCTCTGCCTTCCTATTTT